GCGGAAAATTTTAATACTACAATGTTTTACTTTATTTTTTTCATATAAATTCTTTCAACGGTTACCTTTCTTTGAGAACTAAACTTCAAGCACTTCATTGAATTTGATCATCATTCATGCTTACATTCCCTCGAAATGAGGAGCTTTTGCTATCATCACCAAAAAAATAGGAGACCGCGTAGACTTGTGGGACACATTGTGTACTAAGGGTGTAAAGTTCTTAGTTGCTGATTCAAGTTCATCGGATTTGACATTTGTCGATCGCTCTGGAATGCTAGATCACTAAAATGTACTGTGCTGCAATAACTAACTAGAGGTGCGGACATGCTATAGAGAAAAAGTTACGTTCCGACTTAAAGAACATGTATATGGGTCTTTGATTTGTTCCATTAAGAACTTGGTAATGTCGAAATCTGGTTGTTAGATTCGATGAGCATATGCTTGGTAAAAATTATGGAATGACCTGAAATAATGAATTACATAGTTGACATTAAAATGATTTAATGCACTAATTTTGATTTATATATTTATTTATAAAGTGTGGGCCATCCGGTGGTTTCGTTTTTAAATTGGTATTAAAACTACACTCTTCGGTAATGTGTAACACTCGATACTTTATTGAAAAGAATACACCTTCTGATTATTTATGAAAAACAATTTTAGTTAAATGGCTGCCGCGGCTGTCCTGGCAGTAGTCAATCCTCTTATCCCAATTTTGAAGCACATTTTATCGATAGCTCGACGGATATTTTCCTTAAGAACATCAATTGTTTGAGGACCGTTTGTGTACCATCGGTCCTTAACAGTACCTCATAGAAAGTAATCCATGGGCATCAAATCACAGCTGCCGACTGGCCAATGAACGTCTCCCAAACGGTTGATAACGCTATGACCGAACATAGTGTGTAAAAGACCGATAGTTTCACGGCTGTTGTGGCATGTTGCGTCATCCTGTTGGAATCAGAGATTGTGCAAGTGCATGTCGTCTAATAGTGGCCACAAAAAAACTCCTCAACATGTCCCTATAGCGTTCCCCGTTCACGCTGTTACCATCTTCATCTTGAAAAAAGTAGGGACCAATAATCCCACCACTCCAAAAGTTACTCTTTTTGGATGCATTGGTTTTTCTATGACGACATGTGGATTTTCAGAACCATAAACCCTACAGTTCTGCTTATTAAGTAATCTCCCAGGTGGAAATGGGCTTCGTCCAAAAAGATGATTTGGCGACCAAAATTGACGTTTGTTTCCAATAGATTTAGAGCCCGCACAGAGAAACGACATGAAAGAGGATGTTCATTTTGTTGCACAAGTTGCACCTTATAAGGAAATAATCCCATGCAATATTCTCGGCACAGAAGTGCGACTGATGCCCACTTGTTATGCTCTTCAAGAATTTTGTATACCAGTCGCGGACGGAGCTTCATTCCGACCAAATAGTCTTCTCAATTTTCAAGTTTCTGTAACACAGCAGTCACTTTGAAAATAGTTTTCAATGTTCCCCCCTCTGTTCAAGATTAAAACAATCCATTGTTCACAGCGGAAGTTTGACACAATATATCTGTCAATATGTTGAGCATGGAAGTGTTACCAACTGTCAAAAGAATACCAACTTAAGAAAAACCAACTGATGGCCCATTATACAGGGTGGGCCATCTATCGGTTTCGATTTGAACCACGTGTTAATTTGACGCTGACAATACTTATGTCAATCTGATTTGTCATAAAATTCAGTATATTATCTCCGCTGAACGAAATGAATCGATTTACGCTTGAGCAACGTTGGGTAATATTGGAAATTTATTTCCAAAACAAAGACAATTGGGCAGAAATTGCACGAAAATGCCGTTCAAAATTCGGTCACAACGAAGCACCAACAGCGCCCGGTATACGCAAGTTTATTAATAAAGTGCGTGAAACTGGTTTCATTGTTGATGCTCCAACACGTCAGCGTGCTCGTACAGTGCGTACACCCGAAGGTATCGATGCTGTGGCTGCGAGTGTGCGTGAAAATCCATCAACGTCAACACGTCATCGTTCCCAAGAATTGAACATTTCCCGCACCAGTTTACGACGAATTTTGCGGAAAGATCTCGGTATGACGCCTTACAAAGTTCAATTGGTTCAAGAGTTGAAGCCGCGTGACCATCCACTTCGTTCTGCCTTCGCTACATGGGCCAACGAGCAACTAATCAATGATGTCGATTTTGCGAAAAAAATAATCTTTTCAGACGAAGCTCATTTTCATATTGGTGGCTACGTCAATAAGCAAAATTGCCGTATCTGGGGCTCGGAAAACCCACACGAGGTCTTAGAGAAGCCAATGCATCCCTTGCGAGTGACTGTTTGGTGTGGATTGTGGAGCGGAGGCATCATTGGCCCATATTTCTTTGAAGACGGGGACGGCGCAACCGTTTCTGTCAATGGAAACACCTATCGCACCATGATAACTGATTTTTTTGTTCCTGCTCTTGATGGTATTGATGTGGAGAATGTTTGGTTTCAGCAGGATGGTGCAACTTGTCACACATCGCATGCCACAATCAACTTATTGCGCGAAACCTTCGATGGCCGTTTAATCAGTCGAAATGGTGATGTCAATTGGCCGCCAAGAAGCTGCGACTTGACACCATTGGACTATTTCCTGTGGGGCGCTGTTAAAGACAAGTGTTATGTCGACCATCCAGAGACAATTGACCATTTGAAGGCCAACATTCGTGATGCCATTGACGAGATACGGCCCCAAACACTCGAAAAAGTGCTCGAAAATTGGTCCGATCGAATGGGCTACTGTGAGGCCAGCCGCGGCAGCCATTTGAATGAAGTAATATTTCATTTCTGAGCGGAACAATTGTACTTCAAAACAAAAAATAAATTTGGCAATATCTCAAACCGTTTTTGTTTTATTTTATTTTTAAATCGAAACTTTTAAATGGCCCACCCATTATTATAAATGATGTGTGAATAGGTTCTAATTAGGTTTGTATGCTATATCGTCCCTTGTGTGAAAATTCATAAAAATTATGAATATTCGAATAAATAATTATAGATTTGAAATCAATACGATGTCACGTAAAGTTGTGGAAAAGTATTACGATGAAATTGCTTTTTGATGGATTTATCAACAATATTGGGCAACGGCATACTTCTGTCAGTATTTTTTGGAGGCAAGGAGTTAGAACTAAGTTACCATATTATTTCTTGATACAAACTGTTTATTGCTTAGTACCGATACTTTTCAACTTATTGCAAGGAAGATGGAAATAAATCAGTAATTTTTCATACTTACAATGAGACTGGTAGAAAATAAAACAGATCATTACGTACAAAATGTTATTGATATTCGAATATACGTACAGTGCCTTAGATTTACAGTGATCATCGATTGTGACTTTAAGATTATTTCCGTATGCGCTAATATTTGACACAGCGTATTTGCAAAACCAGAATCAGGGTACGGGCATTGGAGATTTTTCACCATAATTTTTCCAAGTAACATAACCAGACTCACGACTATCTGAGTACGAGATATGATTTAAAAACAGTCACCAGCCATAAATGCAAGGCCAAAAATATAGGACATGCATATGCAGAAGATTGTTAAAGGTAACAAAAATCGTGAACAATAGAAGAAAAAATCTGAGGTATTTTTAACTACTCTGACAAGAAGGTACATCCAAAATATCAGTATAGGAGAACAATTACTGAATTGGGTTTTTACCGTCAGTCTTTGAAATCCTATTAATCTATTATACTCTTTATAAATTGTATGACTTATGTATGTCTTAACGTCACTGTAGAGATTTAATTGCAATTCTTTATACAATAAAGAAGAATTAATATAGAGTACTCTAATATTTTGGATGTTCGTTTGACAACATGAAAATGGCATAGTGTAATAATTGAAGAAAAATGGTGAGAAAATAGATGTCGCAAAACAAAAGAAAAACCATGTTATAGATTCAAGTCCATGGGGGAGTTACTGCGAATTTTTATTTTTTGTAATCGATTTGTATTTGTTGTGGAGCTTGAATCGTTGTTGCAAGGTAGAATCGTTGTTGTCCAAATTGCTATTTGAATTTCATTTGTAGGTAGTTTGCTTCAATGCAGAATTTTACAACATCGTGCTAGAGAAAGACATGGATGGTTTCTGATTGAAAAAGCTTCATTATGGTATTATAATCGGACAATCATATATACCAGCGAAAATAGGTTAAGGTATTTGCTGGTATCACTATCCAGGACTCTACAAAGATGAGTAATATTTACAAGGTTCAAAAATACATATAGATAGTGTTGTGCTAAGGTTTGATAAGCCTCTTTTGTCATAAATACTCATAATTATAGCAATGTCTTGCAGATGTTAGCTGTCAATAGAAATAGTCAAATAGCTGCAGATTTTACAACTTTGGCATCCACAAATACCGCATACGTGAACGGTAACGTTGGCGTTTAAATCTACAGGTTAATGCTAACGTTCACCCTTGTGATATTTATCTACTAGACCCACTTTACTTTAACTGCTAACAATAAGAACAGTTTTGCTTACGGAAATTTATTACCGCAATATTAATACTTGCAAGATACTACGTATATGTTTTCGAACCTGGATTGGAATATTCTGCATGAAACATTTATTATTTGTAATGTAAACGCAAGAAACAACCTTATGGATTATAGCAGAAACAAGGATAAAATGTGCTGTTAGTTTTTCTTGAAAAACTTGTAATGGTAAGAAGAGGTGTCGAAAAAGAATTCATGACGTAACTTATAGTAAAATATATACTAATGTAAAAGACAACGTTTCGAATTCGCAAATATAATGATTAGATAAGGTGATTATGTGAATGATATAGAATGCAGCATCTTCGTTATCTAAACTTACCTGTTTATGGAAATATATTACAAATATAACTGAGGTACCTCTTGGTGCAAATTTGAAGGTATTAAGCTATTAAATAACTTAGTCATCTGCAAGATCTCGTGTGACTTAGAAAAACATGAAACATCATTGCAATTCGAGACAGTACACCGCAGTACAACAAGTTACAGCTTACTTTTTGAGCGCAGAAGTAGTTGAGAGTCTGAGATCTTTGATGAATGGTTCACAATTCATTTATTTGAATACAGATACTTGAGGAGTTTTACGAATTGATTATTTATTTTTAAAAAGTATAAACATAAAACAAGATTCTAAGCTGTAACTAGAGCCATGACTGTAGTGTACACAACTATTAGACACAAAAACGACCTGTTTATTATAATTCTATTCCCAATTCTGTGCAAAGCAACCATTCGAAACGTTATCCTTATTCATAGGTAGATCTTATATCCTGCAAAAATGTAAAACAGACGTGGATTTTCCTTAAAATAGAAATTTTGTATAAACAACAATACGTATTAATTATAACCAAGTAATGATTCCTGTTTATATTGGCTTTCCATATGCTAGATAATTCCTTTAATAAAAATAAGTGATGCTTGAAGACCTGTGATCATGGGGATGAAAAAATTAATCTTGTTAGAGTGTCACACCATGAAGTAATATAAAAAAAAACACTCTTACCCCAAAAATAGTAGATATTTGATTAGAGATTGTTTTGTTAGAAAATGACTGTTTTCGTTGACATCGGAAAGTATTTTCACTAGCAAATTTTAGCGACTTTCTATGTGGAAGCATGTATCCATATGGAAGTATGAAGCTTTCAATAGGGATTCCTCATATTATTTGTGTTGCTCAACGAATATGCGTTTGTATTCTAATACATTTTACCCTTTGATCTGACGTGGCTCAAAAAAACATCATGGGATCTTAATCTGAGTACTAGATTACTCTCTTTAGATTCAATATTAAGTTGTTCAATAAATGCTCCCATTTCCCAATTCCCCAAAGTCAACTATCAATTTGGAAACGAGTGAAGTGGAGCGACGTACGCCACTGATCTGGGTGCATTCATGCATAAGCTGAGATCTGACAGGTTGGCGTGGGGTTAGTTATGCTATTCCTATCAAATTTGATATAGGTCAAGAAATAGACAATTTTGGCGACAGTAAATTTTTTGGGTGGTATCGTTAGATTATTGCTTCCTAATGGTAAGTTCAAATTGGCATTATGATAGGGCTGGAGAAATCTCGAAAACCACAGATACTATGTAAAAAGGTAATAAAAACAATTTTGTAGGGAATTTCTTTTTTTATCATTTTGCTCCTGAACAAAATTGTCGCATATTCGACAGATTACAAGGAATTAAGGGGTAAATGTACAAAGAATGATATAATGACTAAACAAACAATCCAAGAGTAAATAAAGACTCTTCTATTTTTTGTAGAGAATAAAATTTGATACAAAAAAATATTTTCAACACCTTGATGGTTCTTGGAGTATAAGGAAGGGAACTTGAAAATTTGATTCAAAATTGTTTCGCGACACACTCCACACGATACGAGCGTTGCCTACGTTATCTGCATATATTATATCACATGGATATAACTTCATAATCATTATCTACGATCAACGAGTATCATTTTAAAGTGAATCTATTTTTTACAGCCATGTGAAAGTTTGGAAAATTAAATACTTATTTTTAATTTGAGATGTCTCCATTATGAACCTCAAGCCACTCACTCCCATTAGTTTTTCTATTAGCGGTTTTTCCACTGAGTAATTTCAGTAACCGTTGCAGCAATTTTAATGGAAGAAAAAATGTAGTAGATAATGCTAGTTTACGGATCACTCCTTTTCCATTAAAATCGTTACAGCAGTTGCTGAGGCTACGCAGACTGATAGAAGTGAGTGACTTGCATTTTCATGATAAATACATCATAGCTTATCCGAAAAAGTTACATTTTTACATACTTGCGTGAGGTAGTAAAGGATTTGACTCACTTTCAAATTATATTCTTGATCATAGATCATGGCTTATGGAGTTATCCCCATGTGAGAACATGTTGTATGTTGAGAACACACGTACAACGCGAAGTATAACTCGCGACTGTTTTCAATGAATTTTTAACTTCCGCTTCTCATACTTGAAAAACCATCAAAGTGTGGAAAAAACGTGAAGAGCTTTTTGTGGAAAAACATGTATTCTTCACGATAAAGGTCCGTGGTCTTCATACGCTTAGGTTGTTAGCTTAGCAACCATAACATATCGTTACCTTTAAAGAACTATGCACTTTTCTTATGGAAAATGGCTTTTGGGCGTAAAGGTATGTCGATATGTCGATCACAAATACAAATCTCAATGGGGCCAACCCCCTTACACCCCTCCTTTACCCCATGCGGAACCCAGAAACCCCGAGCTAGGGGTTATTGATAGATATGGGAGTACAACATAAGTCTTAAAATAATATTATCAGAGAAGAAGTGAAACATACTGTTGCTAGGATCTCTTGAACACTGGTCAATGGCGATCATGGATCTGACCTTAACAGTGAACTTAAAGGTTATGGCCAAGGCCCAGTTAAAGCAAGACTCGTTACCGCTCAGTCAGTCAAGATTAGCCACATCTCTTTAGCCAAGTAGGATGTTTGATTTAAAAGAACTGACTTCACTTTGGTCATAACCTCCAAGGTCACCATCAAGGTCAAGTCTATGTATACCATTGACCACTCTGGGATAAATCTTAACAACACTACGTGTTACTTATTCTCAGTCAACATTAAAAGCTATAATAATATCCTACATCTAATAATATGCCCTAATTGGGGGCTTGTGGGTTCTGCAGGAGGTCTGGGAGGGGTTTTGACCATGACCTTCAGGTGATGCATTTTCAAAATGCTCAAGTACAAAATGAAAGTAGATGTTCCGCTTTGTCCATTTTCCGGCTAAAAAGTAGGATATACGACTTTAAAAAATTAACCAGATCTTGACCATAACCTTCAAGGTCACTGTCAAGATCAAATCCCTGATCACTATGGGCAAGTCTGAGAGCAATCTTAATAACAGTAAAATTGTATGAATAAAATATCCATTTTTTTGGCCTAATTCTCGACTATGGTTTTCCTTGTGATCAGGACGCAGTGAATAGTTTCTGTATATACCGGGTTATAAGATCTACCCATTGAAACGAGTATAGAGTCGTTGTAATGATAAAATATACTTACGTGTGTCAGGTATTGATGATCGTATTGGAAGCGTCATGCATATGAGCATCGGCAACACGAACCATAACAGAGCCATAACCAAAAGCAGAGCAGAGAAATTAGGGAAAAGAGAAAAAACGATTTACTTCAATACGTCAATTTCGTCCACTTCGTGGTAAGGTAGGAGATGTATTGGTGGTTGTAGTCACGATCGTCTTTGCTTCTGTCGGTAGACGTGAATGTACTACGCCCTTGTTCAAAGTGGAAACGTCGAGCATAACTGCTACTCTGGGAAGGCTTTTAACGTTGAATTTAAAATTAAATCGCTAATTCAGAACATATTTTTATTGAATGCTGTTCAAAATTAATTTGCCAATACTAGTGAAAATACCAAGCCATCAATAATATCTAGGATTTTTTCTTTGCTGTTTCTTCTTCTCTTCTTGTACTGTATGATAAGTTCTAGCTACAGTCATTTCAAAGTTTTTTTAGTACCTTGATTGTGATTTCTGGAGTGAAATACAAGGAAAAATTGCATAGCTTTTCTCTTGAAAAAAACGTCTTATATCCCCTAAGAGGCAGTGAGAGTCTGAATTTGCATCCAAAATTTCCTGGCATCAAAGCCTTTCTCAATCATTATACCATCTTCAACAGATTCGCAGACGCTGTAGTCTGAACATTCCAAAGACATTCACATACAGGGTGTTCATTTGAAGAGCTCCCACCACGGATTTATCGGAAACCTCTGATTAAATGATAAAACGCCGAGACACGTCAAAAGATTTGTCAAGTGAGACAACTTTTAACCAAAAACTACTTCACACCCTTTCACCCTCGGCCCACTAGGGTCATTCCCTTAAAAGTTTTAAACGACAAGGGGTATCGAGTAATAGCTTGTCGGAACGGTCTTTCGAAGTCCTTTATTTTGAAGTATGATTTTTTTAAATCAGTAGATTCGTTTTTGAGAAAATTAGAAAAATCTTTATTTATATTAATTTGTTCAGATAGAAAACAAAAATACACGAAAATATCACTTTTTATTTTATTAAGTGTTTAAAATGTTTTCCAACATATCCAAATAAATATCTTCGTTCAAATTTCCATTAATAAACAATGGCCCAATGACTTTGTTTCCTAAGATGCCTTCCTAATTTTCTCGTAAACGGATCGACTGATTTGAAAAAAAATCAAACGTGAAAATAAAGGACTGCGAAAGACCTTTCAAAGAAGCTATTACTCGATACCCCTTGCCATTTAAAACTTTTAAGGGTATGACTCTGGCGGTCGAGGCTGATAGGGGGTCACGTAGTTTTTGGTTAAAATAACGTCCCCATTGACAAATCTTTTGACGTGTCTCGGAGTTTTTTCTTTTAATAAGTGGTTTTCGATAAATCCTTGGTGGGAAGATTTCAAATGAACACCCTTTTTAGTACTACAGTGTTTCATTGTCTTGGTTTGTTTTTGAGATACATACGAGCCCCTTCCCACTTCAGTTGGCCCACTTCAAGATTTGTACCAAAATATGAATTTATAAACTAAACATGACGAAACTATTTACTTCTAAAACAATTTATTTTCTCAAAAACATTTTAGATACACTCTAGTCATAAAAAAGACATATTTGAAATCACTTAGACCTATAACTAATAGAACATCTGAACAAATAAACAATGTGCGAATAAATGCGCGAAGTTAACAAAGCAACAATTAAAATATTACCATTGGGTAACATCACCTTAATTTTTTATTACGGCTGAAATTCTTTGGGCATAGTGTTAACCAAGTTTTGGCAAAAATTTGGTGTAAAACAATCCCATATTTCTTGAAGCTTTTGTCTCAGTTCGGTGATTGTACGAGCAGGATGTTGCCGTAGAACCTTTTTCATCTCGTGCCACAAAGTTTCAATAGGTGACAGATCTGGATTGCTAGAAACCCATTTCAAAAGTGGTACATTATTTTCTTCTATCCATTTTATAGCCTTTTTTGA